CGGGCATCACGGGTGCCCTTTTCCTGTGAGATCCTCGGGACACTGAGGTCAGGGCACAGGCCTGGGCTGTGGACTCAATCCCCAGTGGGGGGTTCAGGATGCACCCGTGCATGGTTCTCTCTCACCACTGAGGTTTCTCTCTCGCTCCCTCCCCTTCCTCTCTGAAATCAATAAAATAAATATTACAAAAATGAGAAGATGAGCTGGGGACTCCTCGCTAAGAAGCATCGTCATGATCAAGCCTTACCCACCCAGACTCGCAGCCACAGACCATGAGGAGCCAGAGTCACCCTGGCAGCGGCTACAGAGGGAGGACGGACAGCGCCCGCCCTGCTGGGGAGACGTGTGCCTGGGCACACTGGGGTTCAAGTCCAACGCTGCCCTTTACCAGTGCGGTGACGCCAGGCCACCCACAGGCCTCCTGGGCACTCACCCCCCGTTTGCATTGGGGACGCTCTAGTTGCCCCGGGAGATGCCTCAGACCTCACTCCGGAGCCCCCGAGGCACGGCGCTGGACACCGAAGCAGGTGCCATGACACCCTAGAGACCGCCTCCCGCGATGGAAACGCCGGTAAACAGAGACTCATCGGGTTGCAACGCGGCTGGGGCAGCCCTGCGGCTGGCTCCCGGCTCCCGGTCCCCCGGGCCGCCCCCAAGACCACATCACCCTCGGGAGAAAGCACGAGCCGGTCCCCTGCCTGCACCTGCCTCTAAGCAGCCCCCCACGCCCCCCGTGCTCAGCCCTCGGCCCCTCGGCCTGTGGGCACTGGAAGGTGGCACTGGAGGCTCAGAGGAGCCCAGGAGCCCACCAGGCTGGCAGGTGGCAGAGCTGGGACTGGAGCCCAAGAGACTCCAGCTCAGGGAGGCCCTCCCCCGTCCTGCCAGGGTGGGGAGTGGGGAGCAGGGAGTGGGTCTGTGCAGGCAGGGGGCCGGGGGCCGGGCCCAGCTTCCAGCCAGCAGCCCAGAGCCCCGGCAGCTGGCCTGGCCCGAGGACCAGAGGCAGCACGCACGCCTCCACAGGCTGGACCCTGCCCCTCCTGTCACCGCCATGTCCCGGGGCCCTCACTGCTCTCCCAGACCAGGTGACGCTCTGGAGCTGGGGAAGAAGGGGGGGCAGAGAGGGGGCACAGGGATGTCTGGCCCAGGGCCTGTAAGGCCCGTGGTCTGGCCCTGCCGAGGCATCGGGGGTGAGTTCACGAATGTCTGACCAGGCACCGCAGGCTGGCTTCCAGTGGCTGATGGTGTGTGGCCCTCGGATAAGCTTATTAATATCCACCGGCCCTCGGCAGAAGGGTTCCCCACGCCTGCCCTGCAGGGTCAGGCCTCCGACAGGCGACTCCTCCATAGCGAGCTTCACTCCCACTTCCCCGGGACAGTAAGACCGGGCTTCCCCGCCTCCGCCAAACTGGGAACGTGATGGCAGAAATGCGCCATCTGCCCCCACACTGCCTCACCGTGGGAGCCAGAGGCCAAGGGTCCTGGGTGGCCGCTGATGGTCAGGACGCGCCCCAGTTGTGAGCTCGGGGTGCCCAGGCTGCGCTGAGCCGGCCGGGGTTCTGCGACCACCGGCCCTTTCGGAGGTGACAACGTCTGATGGCTGCCTGGGTCCGGAGGCCCCGTCAGATGGAGCCTCAGGGGAGCCCGCACCAGGGCCACCACCGAGGACGCTCCGGATGGGTCTCCTGGGAGCCTGCAGGCCCAGCCGGGGCCTCTCCCAGCCCTGGGTCTGCGGCAGCGCACTGGCCTGGGACCGGCCAGCGGTGGTTCTGCTCTCACCGATTCCCGTGGCGGAAGGAAAGCAGGACGATGCGGAGTTCTGGGGAAGACGCAGGCGGGAAGGCGGCTCGCTCTCCCCTCCCCGGGCCTCGTGTGTGGGTGTCTCCTCCCGGGCTCCGCTCCTCCTCGGGGGTCAGAGGGCGCTCTTGGGGGATGCAGGTCGTGCGATGTCTGTCCTCACTGCTTCCTAAATGTGCCGTTCCTTACGCACTTTCTCCCTCCCAGTGCTCAGTGCCCCGCAGGCGCTCAGCAAGCATTTGTTGACGGACCAATGACCACACGCCCTGGATCCCCTCAATCCCCTGGCTGCCTTCGCCTTGAGGCAGCCAACCTTGGCTGTCATCCTTGATGCTCACGGGGACCCACGGTGGCTACGTCCCTGCCCGCACTGGCCGTGGTTTTGCTTCTCTGGGCCTCGGTTTCCCCCAGTGTCCTCCAGGTCCCCTCCAGCTCCCCATGCTAACACAGGAGCCAGCAGCTGCCCAGGCTCTCCACCTGGCCCTGCACCCCGTCCTGGGCTTAATCACATCCCCCCTCTCCCACCCCCCGCCCGCCCAATCCAGATTCAGCGTCCTAACCCCGGGACGGGGACGTGGCTGCACTGGGAGAGAAGGCCTTTGCAGAGGTAATTAAGGCAAATGAGGACGGACAACGGGCCCTCATCCAGGCTGCCCAGTGTCCTTATAGGAAGAGGCAATTAGAGCACAGACACACGCCGAGGGGACCCTGTGGGGACGCAGGGAGGATAGGGCCGTCTGCACACCACGGAGGGGCCTCGGGAGGCACCGACAGCCCTCCTGCCACCTCGGTCCCGGGCCTCCAGCCTCCTGGACTGGGGGATGGGGGGAAGGTGGGGGAAAGGTGGGGGGGAGATCAACTCCGTCTCCTCAGCTGGCTTCCCGCAGCTCTGGCAGGACAGCATGGCCCTCGCACGAGCCTCTGACCCTGGGACCCTGCCTCCCAGAGCCGCCGCGCCCAGGGGGGTCAGAGGCTCAGAGGAAGGGTGGGTCTTGCCCAAGGTGCCACGGGGCAGAGCTGGCACAGGAGCCCCTCCCAGCTCGGGGTCTCTCCTGAGCCCCGCTCGGACCCTCGGTGACCCCATGGGTTGCGATGCTGTGAAGCCACCGTGACACTTCCCATCTCGTCATCTCCTGGGGTCCCACCCCCTGTGGGCTGGCCCTCCATCCGATGGGGAAACTGAGGCAAGGGGAGCGCCCAGCTAGTGCGCTGGACTGGGATCCGACGGGTGCCCAGTGCCATCTCCTGCCATCTCCCGGCCCCTCGAAGTTGGCATGGCAACAAGCAAGTGCAACCTCATTATCCAACCGGGAGGGACGCTCCGCAGCCCCAGTGGCTCGGAGGCGTCAGCTGGCACAGGTGAGACCGCGGGCCCCTGGGCAGCTGGGGCGGACCATGTGACGCCTCCACACCTGCGGGCACCGGGCGCTGGGTGATGTCAGCCTCCGTGGGGAGCGAGGGCGGCCGGGGACCTGCCCTGCCAGATGCTCACAGCGGCCACACACCAGAGCCTGGCACGGGGGCCACAGCCGTGCCGAGGGGCTGGGGCTCCAGGGATGGTGCCGGCTGAGCATGCTCACCGCCCGCCCGTGGGGTCAGCTCAGGAAGACGGGGTGCACGCCGCATGGGCAATGTCTGTTAAGCTTTCAGGACCTACTCTGTGCGGGAAACCAGCGATGCTGCTTCTGCACCCCGCAGCCACCTGTGGGAGGGCGCCGAGCCCAGTGGGAGGGCGCCGAGACCACCGCGCGGGCAGGATGGTTCACATCCACCCCTTGCCCTTTCCATCCTCCGCCCCCGTGGCCCCGATGCCCACACTCCCCTCTGCCAGGGCGTCCTCCAGGGCTCCCTCTGAAGACAGGGGGTGGGAGGTACCCATTACGGTCTCAGGAAGCCCCCAATTACCCTGCGCCCTGCCATTACCCGCCCCCGTCAGAGGAGCGAGCTGGAGGTATGGGGTGTCTGGTTCCCAGGCCATTTCCGAGGACCCCTTCCAGAGAACGAATGCAGTGCTCCCCGCCCCCCACTGCCACCTGCTCTCCGCCCCTCTCCCAGCGCCCACAGCCTGCCATCCTCCTGCCTGGGCTGGAAGTGGGGGCTCCCTGGGGACTCAGTCCTCCCACCCCCACCCCCACCGGGGAAGCAGCTGCCCCCATGGGTGTTTGCAGCAGGGCCAAGGGCCACCCTGCAGGCTGCGGAGGGGCAGGAAGCACGGGTTCCAGTCCCCACCCGGCTGTGGGAACGGAGCAGGTGACTCCAGCGCCCAGGCCTCGGTCCCGCCCTGGAAAACAGGGCGCCGGCCCCTCCCCGACGGGAGAGTCAGGCAAGACCTCCGCCCAGGGCGGGCCTGGAGGTGTAAATGCAGGGTCTCTGGGGCCCTGATCCAGACGCCCCCAGACCCCGTTCGAGCCTCAGTTTCCCCCGCCCTCGGCGCTGCGGGCCCTGGCGGCGGGGATTTTCCAGCGCCGCGCGGAGGCCGCGGATCCGGAGGGCTCGGCGCGGGAGGCCGTGGGGTGCGCGGGGGGAGGCGGCGTGGGGTGCGCGGGGGAAGGAGGCCGTGGAGTGCGCGGGGGGAGGCGGCGTGGGATGCGCGGGGGGAGGCGGCGTGGGGTGCGCAGGGGGAGGCCGTGGGGTGCCCGGGGGGCGGCGGCCGTGGGGACACGCGGGGGGGGGGGCGGCGGCTGCCGGCAGAGAGAGGGGCGACCCGCACACACCTGCCGGCTGCGCGCCCCGCATCGGCCCGGGCGGGAGAGGCGCCGGGGATGGCTGCCGCCCGCCGCCCTCCGCCCGGGACCAGGCGCCGCGGGGACCATCCAGGGCGGCGCCCCCGCCGCAGAGCCCCCCGCGCCGGCGTCACGGTCTCCGCGCCAGGGTCTGCGGCGCCCCGCGTCCCTCCCTCCGGGACCCCGGCGCCTCCTGCCCCCGCGGCGACCCCGGGCCCCAGGAGAGGCGGCGGCGGAGCCTCCAGACGGCGCAGCGCAGCCACCGCCACCCGCGCGGCAGCTCCGTGCCCGGGCGCAGGGCGCAGGGACAGGGACAGGGACAGGGTCAGGGACAGCGGCGGGCTGCGCGCCGCGCCCTCGGGACCCACAGACCCCGGAGCCAAAGTTGGTGGCACCGCCCGGCGACGCGCCGGCTGCAGGTGCAGCGCCCCCGCCCTCTGCGCCGCGACCGGCTCGGCAAGGCGCGCCGCGGTGCCCACTCACCCGCACTCATCTCGGCGCAGCTCCGAGGCGGCCCGCCCGCGCCGCTGCAGCCCGCGCTCCGCCCGCAGGTGCGGCCCCGGCGACCCTCCGCCGGCGGGTCAGCGGCTGCGCGCACCGGCGCCGGCCCGCAGCCCCGCCGCAGCCCCGGGGGCCGGCCCCGCCCGCGGCCCCGCCCGCGGCCCCGCCCCCGGTGGCCCGCCCCGTCCCGCCCCCCCTCCTCCTAGAGGGCGAGACGCACTCTGGGAAGTGTAGGCGCCGCGCCCTCATCATTCCGCCTTTAATAGCCAAGACACCTCACGGACGGACTACAAGTCCCGGCAGGCCGCGCGCCTGGCGCATGCGCAGAGAGGCGACGCCGCTGCGGCCTCCAGCAGCCACTTGTGGGTCTCTGCAGAGCTGTCACCGTTGCCTGGCTGTCTGCCTGGCTGGCGCCAGCTGTTGGCAGCACGGGAATGCCGAGGAGGACACCCGAGGGGAAAGCGAATTTGGTGCGGCTCTTGAGTCCTAGAGCTGCAAAGGGTCTTGAATACCTACTGGGTCCACCCCCTCCCACCCTTTTGCAGAAGGGGAAACTGAGGCGGCGGCGGGGCAGGGCAGGATTTGGCCATTTCCGCGGCGAGGCTTGAGCAGGCTGTGGTTCCGGCCCAGGGCTCCTGACTCCAGGTTTAGGGCCGCACACCCCAGGCTCCTGGCGCTGCTCCTGGCACGCTGCACCTGCGGCCGCCTGGTCTGGCTGGGGCTGCTCTGGGGAGGGGTGACCCCAGGACAGGACGGGGCCCAGACCCCGCAGTGACCCTCTGTGACGGCAGGCACCCAGCACAGGCCGTGGGTATGGGAGGGAGGGTGGGGCAGGTGCACCCACTGGCGCCTTCCACTAAGGATAGGGCTGCAGGGGGTGCAGAGGGCCTGGGTGAGATCAGCATTCAGGAGGCAGGATCTCTGGGACCTGGAGCTGCAGGAGAGGGGCCAGGGCTGCTTGGAGGTGCTGTCAGCGAGGGCGGAGGGCGGGCCACGGAGATTGCGGACTCTGAATGGGATACCGAGGCAGAAGGAGACCTTTTCCTCTGGCCTCACGGCTCCTGGAGAGAGCTGGAGTCCTGCAGAGCCAGCCAGGGTCAAGGCCAGTCTGCCCCAGCCCCGCACACCCTGAAACCCGGAGGCCCGCTGGGTGGCTGGGCTGGCAGCTGCAGGGCTCCGGGGCCTGCCCGCTGGGGCCTGTTGCCCAGAACACGTGTGATGGGATGGAAGGAGCCCTTCCCCTGGTCTGCTTGTTCTCACCTGGCCCCGCGGACAGCGATGACAGAGCACCTGGGCCCCAGGTTCGATCCCGATCAAGGGCATGTACTTTGGTTGTGGGCTTGATCCCCAGTAGGAGGCGTGCAGGAGGCAGATGATCTATGGTTCTCTCTCATCGATGTTTCTAACTCTATCCTTCTCCCTTCCTCTCTGTAAAAAGTATATATATATAACATGCAAATATGTGCTTTCACGAACACCTTTAAATATATAAAACCACCTGCTTTATTTAAAAGCACAGTTGTTCAGCCATAGCCTGTTTGGCTCAGTGGATAGAACATCAGCCTGCAGACTGAAGGATCCCAGGTTCGACTCCGGTCAAGGGCATATGCCTGGGTTGCAGTCTCAATCCCCAGTGTGGGGTGTGCAGGAGGCAGCCGGTCAGTGATTCTCATCATGGATGTTTCTCTTTCTCTCCCTGAAATAAAAAAAAAATAAAAAAGGAAAAACTACTGCACCAGGTCAGCAATCACAACCAGGGACCGTTCTGTGCCAGAGAACCTCCATCATCGTCATCGTCATCGTCCCATTTTACAACATCACACACGGAGTCCTTTACCCAGTGTGTACCGTTGCCTTGTGGAGCTGCTGGTGTACCGCCAGGCCCTTCTGAAAAGGGAGCCCGTGGCCCCTCCCAGTTCTGTCATCCTCCACGGGGTGAGAGGCCTGGGGCGGAGGTGAGAAGCACGGTGCAGAGGGACTGTTCACAGGCCCAAACCTCGCCTCCGCCCCTGGGAATGCCCCACTCTCGCCGCAGACTCACCCTCACCCTCCGGGCTTGGCTGCAGATCCCCCAGTTGGGGGAACCCCTGACCCCCCAGCTAAGCCAGGGCCACCTCTGCATCCCGAGGTGCAACGAGGGCTCCCACTCTCCCTCAGGTCACTCCATCATCTTGCCAGTTGTCTTTATCCTGGCTCCCTGGCCAGATGTCATGTCTCCTGAGGGCGGGGTCACCTCATGATGGGGGCTCCAGAACATTCTGGGGGATCCAGGCATCCCGGGGGCTCTGGCACATGCTGAAACCCTCAGCACAGAGGGGAGCAGCCAGTGAGCTGTGGGGTCAGCTTGCACCCACGGCGTCTCCCTGGCGCCCCTCACTCAGCAAATGGAGGGGAAATCAGTCCGCTCCCGAGCCCCTCCCACCACTCCTGCCCTGCCTGTCTGCTGGGCCCCCTCAGGCTGCTCTCCTGGCCTCACGGAGAGAAGCGTCGCCCCCAAACCCAGCTGCACAGAAAGCCTGGGGTCGCAGGTGCCCGTGCCCGGTGCCCGGGGAGCTGCAGCGTCCGGGGCCTGGGCAGCTCAGGGCACCGCCGCGCAGCCTCTGGCCAAACTGCAGGCCTCTCTGCCCTCCGGGCCTGCAGAGCAGCTCAGACATTGATTGACTTCACGGCCAAGTGCAGAGCAAATGAAAGATGATTTCATTGTGGATCTCTCCAGCCGCTCAATAATTTAAGCCCTGCCACGCGAAACCGGGGTAAAAATAACATGTGACTCACAGGCAGAGCTCCCTCTCCACCGGCCGCCCCCTCAGCCGGGTCCCCGCTGACTCAGGCCCGGCCTCCCGGCACACTGGCGGGTCACCTGGTCTCCCGCCGCCGAGGGCACCGGGGCCGGGGGCTGACTCACACAGGGACTCCGTGGCCCGGCAGCTGGGGCTCTGCCACCATTCACCTGCCCGGGCAGCTCTGCGGGCTTGGTGTCTGGTCAGCTCAGCAAATCGCGAGATGGTTCTGACCAGTTGGTTCTGAAAAGCCATTCTTGTCACTCAACTCTGCGCCCAGCACAGAGACAGACAGGAGAGGTGGGGGTGGGGGAAGGAGAAAGAGAGAGGGCATGGGGAGAGGAAGCTCAGTGGTGAGCGCCGACTGCATCCCAGGTCCCCTCTGGGAACGAGAGTTGGAGCGCTGGCCGACACCCCACCCCGGCCCTGAGGGTCCACAGCGCCACGTGGACCCTTTCCTGGGGCCGCGGATCAGAACCACAGAAAACGGTCCTGGAGGCCAGGCAGGTGGCTGGAATTCGGGTATTGGGGGCGGGCACTCCTGACAGCTCTGGGGATCCCCCCGCCTCTCCATCCCCCTCGCCTCCCTGCGCTCTGAGGAGCTGATGGAGTACCATCTGCTCTTGGGGGCCAGGCCCGCACCACCTCACTCACCTGTGGGCGGAAGGGCCGCACACTCCGCCCCAGGCTCCGGAGGCCGCAGGGCGGGTCGCACCCGGAGCCGGAGGACGCCCAGGAACTGATGCCAGGATTCCCAGCTCAGCCGGCGGGAGGAGGCCCTCCTAGCCCAGTGGCTATGGTCAGTCTTCACCTCTGACCTTGTCCGCAGTCCTGTGTCCCTGAGATCACATGCCTTTGACATGCCTGCTGTCTGTGCACCTAAGACAAGGGGCATTTGAAACAGCAGGTTTCCTGGGTGGCTTTCTCCCGCCCTTACCTACCCCCGGGGTGTGCTGCGCCCCTCCCGGCCCCTCCGATTCCCGGCAGTCTCCGCCCTGAGAGCTGCCTCCCGCAGTTGTCCTCAGCCTGCCTCAGGGACCGCCTGGGCTGGGCGCGCTCGTGGGCAAGGCTGTCGCCTGGCTAAGAATCGAGGGTCTAGCCCTGACCGGTGTGGCTCAGTGGATAGAGCATCAGCCTGGGGACTGAAAAGTCCCAGGTTCAATTCTGATCAGGGGCATGTACCTTGGTTGTGGGCACATTCCCAGTGAAGGGCAGGGGGCAGGAGGCAGCTGATCGATGTTTCTAACTCTCTATCCCTCTCCCTTCCTCTCTGTAAAAAAATCAATAAAATATATTTTAAAAAAGAATCGAGGGTCTAGCCTGCAGAGAGAGCCGGGGACCCGGTCACCACCCCGGGCAAGCCCCGTCCCTCTGGTCCGTGGAGGGGCGGCTACGGAGCGGGTCCTCCAGGCGCCCCATCAAGGTCACTCAGAGGGTCTTACCTCAGGGATCCTAGGACTCAACAGTGCTTGTGGGCAATCTTCCTGCTCGCCACTAGAGGGCAGTGGTGGGCGGAGCCTCTGCTCCAGCTGCTGGCTGAGCAGTGGGGAGCTGGGACCTGCAGGGAGCATCCTGCCTCCTGTGTCTGGGGAGGGCAGCAGAGGCCCCGGGGAGAGACTTGCCCAAGGTCACCCAGGAGAACTGACACCCCTCCAGCTCCTGGGGCTCCTCACGGGGCTTGGGCTGGGGGTGGGGGACACACCTAATAGATCGAACAGTGGGGGCAGGTTGGAATCCAGGTCAGGGACCTGGCAGAGGCCCCAGGAGCCCGGGTTTTGAGGACAGGTGCCTGGTGTGCCCCTCCTGGGATGGCAGCGCTTCCGTTTATAACCTTCTGCCCAAAGATGGAGTTCACCATCACACAGTCACAGCTGCCAAAAAGACCATCTGATTATGACCATGATTACAACCTGATACACACTGAAGTACACACGGAAATACACGCGGAAATACACACAGAAATGCAGCAAGTCCTGTCCAGTTTCTGTCCTCTGAAGTGACCCCCCCTTCTTTCTTCCCTCCCCTTTTATTGATTTCAAAGAGGCAGGGAGAGAGAGAGAGAGAAAGAGAGAAACATCAATGATGAGAGCGAATCATGGATCGGCTTCTGCACGCCCCACCAGGGATGGAGCCCCAAACTCGGGCCTGTGCCCTGACCGGGAATGGAACCCTGACCTCCTGGTTCATAGGTCGGCACCCACCCCGGAGCCCC